TAGGAGGAGGAGGAGGAACACGTGCTGGGTAACTGTACATCCTGTCATAATAATCCCGTTGAAAGTCATAGTCCAAGTCAAATGAGGAACCGTACATCTCCGCTGCAGATCGTTTCATACCTGCTTTTCCTCGGTTCACTTTTGGCTCTGCAGCCAGGTTAATATGTAAAACCTGGCCGGCGATCATTCTGCCATCCTCTCCAGCTACAGCAGCTCCGACATTTCTTTCATTAACATACTGGACAAAGGCAAAGCCCTTATGCACAGAGCAACCCACAATTTTGCCATACTTTGAAAATATGGCCTCCACATCAGACTTCTTGACCACCAGAGTATTGAGATTCCCAATGAAAACACGGGAATTCATGGACTGAGGATCTGTCTTGTTGGTAATATTGCTAGCCATCTCCTTTGAGGATGAGGTTTCTCACAAAGCTGAAAATGTAGCTGACGATCAAAAAATCTCACAAGAGTTAGGAGAGAGAGAGAAGAGACTGCCTCTCCTACTGCAGGTCTACTCCGAGACGCCGGAGCTACAACAGCAAGGAGACACTGGACCGTTCGCTCTCTGTCTCCTCACAGAATCCTTCCTCTGTGTTCTTATATAGGACTCCAGCTGAAGGTGTGGCTCAAATTAAAGGCGTGGTCTTTCATTGTGGAAGTAAATCAAGCAAGTGGATGTCTGTTAGTAGCCTGATCTACAAAGTAAGTTTCAAAATAGCCAGGGAGAAATAGAAAAACACTGTATCTGTGGTGGCTATCCTTTGTTTTCGACTTGATTAGATCCAAATTGGTTGTATCCAACTTGATTATATCCAAAGCAAAATCCAAAATTGGAGGAGACTCCTTCAAGGGAGTTTTGCTTTATTTGTAGAAAGGAATCAGTATCTTGGGGGCAGGAAGGCTTGTCTTTAATGTAAATCTTTTTGAGTTTGAAAGACACAGGCCTTTAATCTGTATCTGGAGCAAGAAAGACATATATCTTTGTTATTGTGATTGTTGTTGTCTTAGTAGTGGTTGTGAGCCAGCGATTGTCTCTAATACCCTGCCTGAAAGATCTTCCTGCCTCTGCCTCCCCAGTGCTGAGATTAAAACAGGTGTCACCTGGTCCTGCTTTGAAATCCGCTTAGTTACCCTTTTGGAATTTTGTGCACATGCTAATCCTGCATTTGCAACAGAGAAATGGTTAGAGGAAAACAGTGAAGTGTAGAGATGAAACTTCAGGACAGGGAATTTCCTCTCTACCTCCTGACTCCCCCTTTCCCCTTTTTCTGTCTCATTCCACTTTTTATTTCCTGTTTTTGAGATGTACACATATAACATTTCCATCCTCTTGTCACTTGTGTTTGGACAGAAGGCAGGCAGGGAGCTGCCGGGATAGCTGACAAGTCCATGATCCCAGAGTCTCCTTCTGATTCCACTGTGGTTTATTTACCCTAACAGTTCATTAAACGGGATAGCATTCAGACATTTACCTGAAAGGGTATAATGTACTTCAGTGTCTTGAATGTAACATAGTCATGACAAGTTACAAACAAAGTAAGCACACTGGATATTTCCCAGTTAAATAACCTTCCCAAAACCCAGACTCTATTCCCTGGGAGAGCTCGGAGATTAGTCTGTGAACTAGTCATGTGACTTCTAGCATCCAAGGAATCTATTTAAGTTAGGGTACCTGTGTCAATTTCTTTTCACAATGTGTCTGAAGTTCAACTAGTGGTCTGTACTGGCCAGTTTTTGTTGTTGTTGTTGTTGTTTTGTTTTGTTTGTTTTGTTTGTTTTGTTTTTGACACAACTTGACACAAGCTGCAGTTACCACAGAGAAAGGTGCCTCCCTTGAGGAAATACCTCCATGA